TATTAAAAAACATATTTATAAATTTTTATATTAAGTTTTAAAGTTATTTATTAAATTATAAATAAAATTAGTTGTGACATTTTTTTTGTCCCACACTGTATTTTATAATTTATATTAAAAAATATGAATTGTAATTAAATATATTAATATATTCAAATAAATAATAAAATGATTAAAATTTAATAAGAGGTTAATCTTGAATTTAAATTTTCTATTAAGTTTATATCTTTATATTTTTCTTTATAAATTCTTTTAAATTAATTTTAAGTTTCTTATATTTTTTTAATAGTTTTTCTTAAGCTTTTTTGTTTTGTTGAATTTAAAAAACTTTGTTTCTTGTCTTTATTTTAATAAAAATAACTAGATATAAAGTTTTTAATAATATTATTTCAATATAAAGTTGATATCAAATTTATTATAAGTTTAATATAATAGTTTACAATCTATATATTAAATTTATTATAAATCAGTATCATTTTGATATCAATTCAAAACTCTAGTTAGGTAAAGTTTTTTGTTTAATTTTGTTTATTTATTATTGATTATTATTTACTAAAAGATTGATAAGATTTTCAAAATTGTTTTTAATTATAGTAAATTTAAAAACCTATTGAATAATATAATAATATTTGTTAACTATATCAGTAAAAATATTTAAATCTTTTTTTTTTTATTTATATTAATAATAATATTATAATCTTTTATTTCTAAATATCTTAAAATTAAATCTTTTTTATAAACTTATAATTTTTTAAAAACTATATTTGATTTTTTTAATTAATATTTTTATTTGTTAAACTTTTATATTTTTATTATTATTTGGAGATTATAAATTTAAAAGAATAGATAACAAAAGATATGAATAAAGAAAGATATGAGAATAGAATTATTTGATTGATAACAATTAATAATTATAAATAAGGTATTATAGATAATTAAAATATATTATAATTTTAAAAGTATTTTTATTTTTTTAGTAAATATAGAAGTTTACAATATTTTCTATTTTTATATTATCTGAAATAAGAAAGTTTAAGTCAATAGATATAAATAAATTATTTTTATATAATTCTAATAAAAATAGTTGATTCTGATTAATAGAAATTTTGTATAATTTAATTGAATATTATATTAGTGAAATATAATTTTTAATTGATTAATTATAATATTTAATTATATTTTTTAATTAGTAATTAGATTATTATTTTGAAGTTTGTTATTTGAATCTAATATTAATAATATTTTATTAAAGAATAATACAAAGAGACCTTTTTAAATACATTCTCTATAAATGCATTCTCTATAAATGTACTTACTATATTTTCTCTCTTTAAATATATGGTCAAGTTTGATTCCAAGCATATAAAACTTTTAATAAAATTACTTCTATAAATGCATACACTTTATAAATACATATTTTTTAAAAATTTTTTTATGGTCCTGAATGATGTATATTTAGAGAGAATTCATTATATATTAAATATAATTAATTAATTAATATTTCTAAGCTAATATATTCTTATAAGAAAAAATTTTTTTATTTTTTTAATTAAGTTCTTATTAATTTAAATCATATTTCAGGAAATATATTTGAAGTAATTCTAGTTTTTAATTAAAATACTTTAAAAATATTAGTTTTTAGTTGCTTATTTTCTATAAAGGTATAAATTAACTTTTTATAAAAAGTAATATTTAACAAGTTATAATACCCAATATCATTTTATTACCTTTATTTAATATTTTGTAATTTGGATTTGAAAATATTAATTATTGTTTTATTGATATATATATATTTATTTAAATATATAATAACAATAATATATTATTATTATTTATATTAGTTATAATTTATAATAATTCTAATTTGATTTTTTATAATTTTAATTTAATAATCAATATAATTTCAATTAATTTTAATATAATTTCTAATGATTTTTAACAATTACTATATTAATAATTTACTTAATTTTTTTTATAACAAATTTTAAAATTCAAATTTTATCAATTCATTATTTTTAAAAAACCTTTTTCTATATATAACTTCTTTTATAAAAATTGTTTTTAAAATTTTTTCTTTTTTAAAGAATTTTGAGCAGTAGGAATACAGAAATAAAGTATGACTTTTTAAAATTAAATAAATATATACTGTATACACAGTATATTATTATTATTTTGATGGTTTATTAAGTATTACCAAATATACAATATATAATACTAGTTGTAGTGTTATTTATACGTATGGATTAACAAGTCGAAAAAAAATGGTTTGCATTAATAGGATAAAAAAACATATACTGATTTCATAAGCTCCAATATGTGATCAAACAATTTTGTTACATCAAAAAGATATTGTGTACCTGGAAATATGTATTTAAGAGGAAGAAAAAACGACGATTAATAATAAAGGGATCATTGCATACGGTGTGATCTCAAATCGGTGGTTATAACAAAAGAATTTGGTGAATCTTGATGATTGAATAAAAAAGTTCCGTGGAATATACAGTAATTACCATAATAATTATTTTAAAATCATACTCGTAAATATTTATAATATAGATTTAACAACAGGCGTTTTGATGCATGGGCAGGTTTATCCAATTATGGTATACCGTTTGTATGCAATTGATAATGTCGTAAATCAAAATAAAAGAGTATTAAGTGTTGATTACGTACGTTGGAGATAATTAATTCGAATGAAGATGTTGTATGAGATTAAGGTTTTTCTAAAGATAATGCGTCCATAAATAGTTCATAAGAATCTAGTCGAAAAGAAGGTAATCATGAAAGGTAAGGGAATCGATAAGTGAAAGTATAAATAGATTTATTAAATTGAGTGAAAACAAATAATCAATAATTTGCCGACGATATATTAAAATATTTACAAATAAAGAGGTGATTGGGCAGTACACTATTTTCAAGGGGTTCATTATAAATTTCTTGCAAGAAAATGACATCTTTCCAATTTCAGAAATCGAGACAACCAAAAAACAAAAGGGTTATCCATAAGAGGCAGAATCTGGATGACACAAGTTATGCATCAGATTGTGCCTTTTTCCAGACATCATTATCTATTTTTTCGGTACAAATAAGATCCCGTGGTCGTCAATGGCAGCGGTATCACTGGCACATTCTATGCCGAATTAATAGGAAAGTTCAACGGCAACAAAAAAAAAAGTTCCCAGAGGATTGTATAATTAAAGTTAAATCAATACAATTTTAGGATGAATCGTTGTTATTTGTGGAATGTGTTCAAAAAATGAATACATAAATAGAATCTCGAACGAAGTTTCACAATGAATTTTAAACGGGAGTTGATAAAAAGAGAGCTCCAATGATTGGAAATGAAAAATTATTGAGAAAATGGAAAATAGGAAAAGTTCGTGTATGAAAAAAGAACAATAGAAAAATTTCAAAGAATTATTGTGACCTCTATTCTGCGCAGGGAAATTCGGAACATGTTGTGAACAAGGTCTGAGACAAGAGAGTGAGCGTTGTGTGTGACTTACATGTTTAAGTGGTATGCATGAAAATAAAAACAATTATATAAACTTATTGCAGGTGAGAGAACGTGAAAGATGTTTTATCAATCAATCAACCTTTATTATTGAAAGAAATACCACCGATAGTTAGATGTATGTGCTTGTGGAATTGTTGAATGAATGAATTAATCATTTATAATCCGGGTGCAACTTAGGCTCCTGCCATCTTAGATTCTCTGACTAATCAGCCTCTACCACATAATTGTTCTCCCTCATCCCTGACATCGCCACGGTTACATCTCCTTTTCTGGAGACCGGCAACCACGTACACTGTCAATCTCACGGAAAGACTTCTTGGCATGGTAGAAGTTATCCATTTGGTCGATTTTCCATGTTCGTAGAATCAAATGACAAATTATTACGCGCTCATGATTTTCCTCCGGGCCTTTGTTAGCTGACCAGTTTTGCCTATAGTTTGCTGATTCAACCGATTGATTGATTTGTGAACCTGTCATGGAAAAAACTTGCACATACAGTTTATTCACGGCAGCTTTTATCATTGAGGTTTTAGGTTAGACCGCAAATTAAGAAATTCCTTCTCTCGGTATAAATTTTTGGGAATCAGAGTTATTAGTGGGTCAATAATTATTATGTGTCGCAAAAAGTTGGATGTGCATCATTTAGTATTAGTATGTTGATATTAAATAAGGGACTTATTTTCATTAATCGAGTTTCAATTTCTTTTTTTTTAAAAATTTTTTTTTTTTTTTTTTTTTGATCAACTTGTAACAGATAAGCAATGTTACGTAAATGTAATTCCTGCATTCTTGTTTGCGTGTCATGTTATCTGTCTATTGTCTTGGTTTTACATCTTTGGCACAAGGTCACATGGTCAACCGATCAAGGCATAAAAATCATTGGGCACAATGGCACACAATGAACAATTTAATTTGGACCGTATCATTTAAGATTCAAACCTTTCTGCCATATGTATAATGATATCTAAAGTAATATGTAAATAAAAAACTTTCTAGAGGTAATCTTGGTTTCTTATTCACACAATGAATGCCTCCGTAGTCTTGCTTGCATCATAATTAACATCACCCGTCAAATGCGAGTAATTCCTGTAACCGCCTAGAAAGATACAATCAAAAAAATATTGCATATTTACATGTATATATCTTCGGCGGTTAAATTAGGTCATTTCGTGTCAACTGAAAAATCCTTCAATAAACTCAACACCACATACACATGCGTTTCGTTTTTACAACGATTCTTGACAGTCCACGAAGGGTGCGTCACCACCGATTGACCTTAACAAACCATTTTGGAAGAACCTACCCAAAAAAGGATATTCTTGAATTTCAACTGTAATAGACCAATCTAAACTTCTGCAAGAGTGAATATCTTCATAAGCATTTCAACTCCGTGTTGACGGATCAACGGTTATGGCCTAGCACGAAATATTGATACCCAATTTGGTTGCATAACCTAAAAAAAATGGTTACTAAAATAATGATTATTTTTTTAATTTACCAAAAATGGAGAACCTGCCTATTAAGATATTTACATTATTCTTTAACATGTCGCAACAAAAACCTCTCGCTCTCTTTCTACATAGTAACTTCTCCATTCATACTAGCTTTTTCCTTGGTAAAATTTGATGCGCCATCCTGATTCCCATTTTTGGTCACCGATACTTCAAATCGATTACCAAACTAGGGTTTGGGCTTCTGAAAAAAAAAATTACAACCTTAAAAAACACGAATATAATTTTGCGCATTTCATTCTTTCATGATTCACTTAATTTGCGTTGTGCATCCATTTTAATATTGTAAATACTGACCGAATCAACTAGCAACAAAAGTCTAAACCAACTCAAAAATTGGCTTCTGATATTCAATAAGTGTCTCCATATTTGATTCACGAGTTGACACGGTAACAAAACATTCAAGCCCAATCAACTTATTT